ACAATAAACGCAGGTTTGTGTTCTCCTAAAAGCCGTTTTCCACCTAGGCAACGAAGCCTATTTTGTGGTTGTCATCACGTGGGATTTGTCAATCGCGATTCTCGGTATTTTTGTGCACGTTTTGGACAATGTTGTTGACACTGTGTACACGTGCAATGCCATAGACAAAGACAGTGGAGATTTTTACAAGCAAGATGTGCACGAAGTTTACGTTCACCTGCCCATCAATCGAAGCCACAGGCCGGGTTTCGTCTCAAGAAACCTCTCGTCGTGTAAAAATACTTTTGCCCGATTTGGTTCCTCATGTTGTATTATCTTTGTAGTTTCTTGTTATGTGTCTTTCTAGCTATCTTATTTGAGAGTGTAAATTTGCAGCATGTTTAGCTTAGATTTTTTTTCTTATTATTATTATTTTTTATTTTATTGTAAACCAAGGTTTTTTGTCTAATTGGAGGGTGATTTAACAAATATCCGTTATTGTTGTAAATTAGACATGGCCACGGGTTGAATTGGTTTATGGTATTACCTAGGCCGGTTCAAGTTCATGTATGTTTGAAAAGTGAACCGCCGGTTTTGTTTTGTTTCCGAACTGGAATAGACGGTTCGGTGATGGAATTTTATTTAAACATTAATTTTCTTAAAAAATTATATTATTATTATTTTATTATATTATTATTATTTTATTATCCCGATTCGGCCCGGAATCTGTGATTGGCCCTGCTCACACCAAAATGTTCTTTGGAGACCAATTTGAAGACCCTTGCCCAATTTTTATACCACATTTTTATTGGGCTGATTGGATTCTGATCTATGGGCCCCCACGGGCAAGGTCTGATATGCATTACGAGTACATAGAACTGTGATACAAAACAAAACGAGGCGGCTCAACTAGTTATGGTTCAAACAATCAAACTTATTTGGTTTGTTTGATAGACAATATGATCTCGAGCTAGTTGATAATAGATAAGAGTATTGATATAACTTTCTCTCAACTTGTAGTATAATTTGATTCGTTAAAGCTTATTAATGAGCTAAGCTTGAGCGAATTTATCGTAGCTAACGAGCTCAGCTCGGTTCATTTCCAGGTCTTACATTACATAACATGTTGAGCAATATTGCAATTCGGAATTATAAGTTTTTGTGCAATAATCCATAGTAATAGTCACTTCCACATGGAATTTTTTCACACACTGCAAATGGAACAGCATTTGGGGTCTCAATTTTTGCCTCTGAATAAGTTAGAAGTCTCCTTCAACTATACAATTGATATAACTAGGGCTGGGCAAAATATTCGAACCGAACCGCTGAATCGTAGATCCGAATCGAAATCGAACCGAATTTTCGGTTAACCGGGGGACTCGGTTCGGTTACAAGTACCTCAAATGAAGTATTTGCTCGGTTCGGTTCGGTTACGGTTTTTAAGATTTTTTTACCCCGGTTAACCGAACCGAACCGTATATTATATTAAAATTTATAAAATATATATTATATTATATTATATTATATATTATATATTATATATTATATTTATATTAATGTTTTCGGTTCGGTTCAGTTCGGTTTATTATTTGCGAACAAGCAGATTTGTGTTAGGTTCACTCGGTTCGGTTCGGTTCGGTTAATTCGCGAATAGTAAGATTTTTTTCGGTTAACCGAATTCGGTTTCGGTTAGCGAGTTCGAATATTTGCTCGGTTCGATTCGGTTAGCAAATACCTCAAAAACTTCGGTTAACCGAACCGTGCCCACCCCTAGATATAACTAATGACATAGAATGATAGAAATCTATAAAGTTCGTAATAATTTTTTATTTGATAGTTTTGTCCTCTACTTCTTGGAAAAGATTAATACCATCTCCAAAGTAACAATACTTCCATCAGAAAGCAGTTAAACAGATGGCACGAGCACATGGTTCTCTAGAGTATTTACGAAAACGCACCCTGGACTTCACCTTATTTGCCAAGAACTCCGGTTCAGACCCTTTTTCCGGATTTATCCAACTCGATGAATTCGTCGGGCGGCGGGAGCTAGAGGAAATGCATCGCAGGTACATCAATTAGTAGGTGTGAGAGGATTAATGTCGGATCCTCAAAAGCTGATTCCACTCCTGGTTTGGTAGCTGGGCTTGGATAAAAGTTGGGGGCAGTCCGA